CGTGGGCAGCCTGGGCCTTGGGGCGCCAGGCCGTGCCGAGCGTGCCTTCGGCGAAGGTGTCGCTTCCCCGCGGACCCCGGCCCCCGACGCGTAACGCCGCGCCTCAATTTCTCTTCAGTTGATTTCATCAGGTTTTATCGCTTTTGATAGCCTGACAAGGTAATTGAAGTAAACTCAGAGTGTTAGAAGGCAGTGGATTAATCTGGTGTGGTGTCAGAGGTCATTTTTGAAATTGGGAGTGTTAATGGTCAATGCATCTTTTCTCCATGCAGAGTGTACGTTTTCCAACAGTAGCTTGTGGATGTTTACGTGACCAATTTATATGTAAAGATTGGAGCTTATTTTACACCTGATGGTATTCTGGGAATAGTACGCAACATCTTCGGTGTAGAAAGGTCAGACCTGAAGAAAGGCTTGTTTGCCTGAGGACGTGATTACGTTTCCAGTTGTACTGGTTGGATTAATAAAAGCTATCACCTGTATGTACAAATCATGTCTCTTGAATCTCATTTTTAGCACCTTTTAATGTATTCTACTGTTAACTGTATGGATGCTTTATGGCACGCAGAGACAAGATGCTGTAGCAGGTGTTGGATTAGTTTCTAATGAAAGTAATGAGAGACTGTAACTGGTCCGTTTGTAAGTGTAATAGATGGTGCTAATACAGACTTCTGAGTTGGCTGGCTGCTCGCTGTTGTTAGAAGAGTCATTAGAAGCCATTGTGGCTTGTTTTGTTTTTTATTTCGCCAGAGGCGAGGTTGTCTTTTGTACACACCTTTTCTAATTTGAGAAGAAAGCAAGACACAGTTATGTTGTTTTCTGGTGAGGGGGGTGGACTGGCGTAGAAACAGAAATGGTGCTGGCCCAAGGCCAGACAGAGGTACAGCCCAAAGCTGCTGCTCTCATGAACCTCTTCTAGATGCTTCTCATCATGAAGAGGCGTATATCTTTCTGACATGATGGACTCTCTTCTTTCTTGGATGCTTTGGTCACCAGTGAAATAACTGAGATAAAAAGGTGTGCTTGTTTTTAACTACAACGTCTAGAGGGTCGACGCTGTATCTATTAAAGTAATAATTAACCTGCGTTTTCTTTGAGGCATGTAATGGTGATATTGTCTCCCGCTTTTTTGCTTTTCCGCACTGGCTAGCATAGCCAAACCACTGCTCTTATGTCACTGTAGATATTCCAAAGCCACAAGGAGAAATTATTGTACCAGTGTAAAATGTGACTTGCAACAGTGAAGTTTACTACTGCAGGTCACGTTTTACATGTTACATGCTTTGCATGTTACAGCTAGATGAGACTAGAAAGGAACTATGATATCAAAGCTCTGGAGTGACAGGGTACAATGGCAGGTTGTCAGCTTGTCATGACCTAGGATGGATGTGCCTGAGGGCAGCCTGTGATTTGATCCCCGCCCTGCAATGTGGTTATTTTTAACGTTATACTGTATACGTATTCAGGTTTGTTTTCTTCTGCTAAATTAATATGCACTAATTTTCTGTTTTGCAGAGTATTTAAATCGATGATACCATCTTACCACTCTCCCTTCATACTGGAGCGGTTGCAAAAAGGATGACTGCAGATGTAAGCCAGTGGGACGAAACTATTTGTGATAAGGTTATTTGTCAGCATCCACAATGCTGGGATACACTAAGGAGGATTGAAGAGGGACATCCTCGGATCCGTTTAAGAAATTCTGATTCAATTTCTAGAACGTTTTTGGAAAGCAAAGGTAAAGTTTTGGTTAAATTATTATCTTCACAGAAGAAGGGAAAAGAGCATTCTTGCATTTGAGATAACTAACTTGAAATCCTAGTGAAGTCAAGGAAATTTTCAGTTTTCACATGAGGTAGCTAGTGAAGTTGAAGACTGTTCACAGATTTTTGGATTTTTAAAGCTGGAAGCAAACATTAGATTGCCTAGTCCGACCTGTATAATGTATTCATGCCCTTCAGGATTTATCTCAATAGCTTGTTCAAATAAAGCATCTCTTCCCTAAGGTAACTAACCTTGATTAGCTGATATCAAGAAAGCCAGAGTTACTTTCCTTGGCAGCTTGTTTCAATGGTTTCTTGTTAAATTTAGGTACTCAGTCTTCAACATGCATTTTTCCTTGAGTATATGTCCATAAGCTAGTAGCAGGTTTCATTCCAATTCCACCCTAGGTCCTCTAACACGCTTCAGGAAAGTCTTTGTAAATGAGGTTTGCATATCAGCTGCTTGGAGCTCCCTGTGTACACTCTTTGATCACTACTTCCTAGTGTTTGCCTGTGGGTCTGATCTCCTGTTTACCCAAGTGATTCATCAGTGTTTGACAAAACTTGCTGTCATCTTCTTAAGGGGGTTTCTGCTGCCTACCAGCAAGAATGGGGTCGCTATGGACAGATAATTAAGAAGAAAGAGTTGTTATACTTATGTTACTGTAATTCCTCGAGATACACTGTACAGAGCAGTCTGACAAAGTGCCCTTCTCTTCTGTAGCTTCACAGAGTCCTTTAATGGAGACTCTGAGCAGCAAAGGAGGTGACTGGTGGTTGATACTGCACTAACCTTCATGCCCTTAGAATGGCGGGTTGAGGCTCTGCAGGGCTCATGCACGGCTCAGAAAATGCTGTGGTGTAGAAGGTGGTGATTTCTTGCATTTTTGGCACTTTGGGCCCTAGGAGTATGATCTGCACGTAGAGAACTTCTCCAAGAATCACGGTTGCTATAAGGTGAATTATTGTTTCCTTAGCTAGAAATTCTGGCTACTATAAATGGGGCTAATACACCAATGGAGCTGTTGTGTCTTCAGTGGCAGTAAACAGTTATTAAACACTGCACGCAGTTTTTACTTATCAGATCCTTGATGTTCACCTTGCATTTGCTTTACTTTTCTTAGATGAATTTCCAACGCTGAAAATAGTAAATATCCCCCCCAGCAAGTCTTTGAGAAGATGCGTCCAATGTTCCAAGTGTCACAGAACTTTCTCCATCTCTGCTGCACCCTCTCTTCTAAATTCTGTGCTTCAAGAGAGTTCGGAGGAAGATAGTGCTGTCAGGTGAATGGCTCTGAACATCCATCTGTGAGTTTTAAGCCTGCAGTAAGGGCAGGCATGAAGGTGATAGCTTGTTTTTTTGTTTTTTTTTTGTTTTTGGGGTTTTTTTTGTTTTTTGTTTTTTGGGGTTTTTTTGTGTTTTTTTCCTCAAAGAGCTCACAGAAACATTAGGTTCAGCTGTAGTGGACACAGCTTACAAAATGTTGTTTGTACTGTGTAGAATACACTGTTAGCAGTAATGGTTGAGTCTTGCTTAAGTTTATTTCCTTGAAAATGATGCTTCTGTATCATTAAGACCAAATAAATAAAAAATTTGAAGTACAGATTATTTCTGTATAGTAGTCACTGTGGAGTGCATATATAGTCTCTGTTGGTACTGAAGCCCTATTAAGATCGGTGCAATAAAATTCTTGAAGAAACACAAGTCCTAATTAAATGTGTATGCCCATATGGTGGTATAGAATCGGCAAATGGTTGAGTATGTTCATAACCCCTGTAGGCTGGTGAGTCAATTCACACCTCTTTCCCCTCATTAGTACTAACTGGATCCACCCTAAACTGCTGTGGAGCTATTCACAGAGTAAGTTATCACAGAGCATGAGTCAGAGGGGACAGTAAAGTGCTCAAGGCCAGAGTTAAGTGTGTGTCCCATTAGCTCCATGTCTGTAACAAAACAGGAAGGGACCAGCTGCTCTGGAAGCTGAACACACAGCCCGGATCCGAGTGGCTTCCATGGCATGGGATGTTGTTACAGTACTTACTTTTACTAGTTTAAATTTGTCGTAGACTGGCCCTTGCTGCTCTGCATTCTTTTCTTTTTCATTATAGAATAAGAATTTTAAACTCTCGACGGTATCCTGTTTTTAAAGAAAACGAGCTTTATTCTTTATACTTCTGTCCTGAAACTTAGCTCTAATGTCTCAAAACATTCCCTCTTTCCTTTCCCTAAAGTAAAAATAGCCTAGAAACAAAGAGGAGCCCAGTTCCCAGTGGAATACGTTGGCATATAGATGTCGCTCACACACTCCCCTTCTGAACTCAGTTGTTCTAAGGCTAGATCATCTCTGACTAAGGCTTTCTAATCCAACTGTTGCATCCTCAAAGCTCAAACCACTCTAGCTATCCCAGTGTCAAAATCAAAACTGTTCCCTAGGGTCCCTTTTATCATAAACTGATTCAGAGGTTCTAGTTATCAAAAAAAAAAAAATCCTCAGGCTAAAATTCTACTGATTGAAAAGACTTTCCCTTCTGACACAAGAATGATATGAGCACAAATTATTTGTTCACAGACGGAATTAAGGAGCTATTTCAGCTGCATGGGCCAAGTGTTCCATTAATGCTGGCTTTGTTAATTCTCTTTGAGAAGTGCTTTGAAAAGGAAACCTGTAGGGTAACCTCTAATTTGCTTTTCATACTGTTCTTTAGCATTTTTCTCACCATGAATCTCACTTCTATTTGTATTCCAGTTCAGAAAGACGTATTTTCCCAGGCTTGAACTCTGCAGCAGGGTCAAACGTTATCTCACCTAGACAGTTCAGCTTCATGGTCTTGAATAACATTGGAAAAGTGAGTGTTTTTGGCTTTTGGGGAGACAGGTCAGAGTGGTTAAAAGTGTGTCTATTTACTGAAATTTGTAGCATATCCTTAAGTTTCTGGAAATTGAGCAATGATGCCTTTGTGTGGAGCGCTTAGACTCTTTCAAAGACGTAACCAAGAAAAATACTATCCGTCAGAGCATCTGGTGTTCAGTGGTTTGCATCGAATAACGATAGATCATTCAGTGTCTTTCTGACCGCTGCAGAGATTGGAACGGTCATGAAACTATATCTGCAACACTGTGTGTGCTCAGCGAATCTATTCAGAATGCAAATGAAACCACAGAGGTGGCTTAAGGGGGCCGCATTAAGGTGTGCCACCATCAAAATGGGATGCCTCTGAAAGAGCTTACTCCCGGTTGTTTGCTTTTACTACTTGCTGTAGGAACTACTGCTAGCTCTAGGAGTATGTGACTAGGTTGAGCTGATGCAACTGAAAAGTAATCTTCCAAAAAATAATCTGCTTTCCGTCAGATCTGTGCACTGATCCGACTCCTTCTATGGCTACAAAACGTACAGTAAAGTAGAATAGGCCTTGCTGTAGTGGAAAGTGCTCTATGTTATGGAAAGCTTAGAGTCAAACCAGACTGACAAGGTAACTACAGCAAGGAATAACACAGAGTCACTATGGATCGAAATTACAAGCCTGTATAGGAAGCCTTTAGTCATACCCTGCTGTGACATTTGCCCAGTCTGGAATAACTTCTCTACAGGAAAAAACTTAGCAAGCTAGAACTCTTTGGTCTGCAAAAGAGATGATGGAGGCTGGATATAATAAAGGCTTGTAAAAATCAGGCGTGGCATGGAGAACACAGATGGAGGTGAAATTGTTCACTGCCTCTTCCAATTCAAGAATTAAGGGGTCAAATGATGACAGCAGCTGGTGAGTCCAGACCAAACAAAAGAACGTTCACGCAGTGTACAGTTCAGCTGTGGAGCTCTTTGCCACAGGATGCTATAGATGCTGAAAGTGTGCATTGGTTTTAAGGGGACACAGGACGAGTTTGTGAGAGAAAAATCCACAGAGGGTTACTAAATACTTGGAGACCTATTTTGGCTCAGGAAGTCCTTGAACTGAAAATTGTTGGGGGCTGGGCAACTATCCTGAGAAAATGTCTCATCTGCTTGTTCTATTCTTATGTTCTTCCCTAGGCATCACCTTTTGACCACCGCCAGAAACAGGATACTGAGCTACACAGACCTTTGTCTGACCCAGTACGTCTGCTCTAGTGTTCTTGTGCACAAGCATGAGAGCAGTCAGGAACATATGGTTGGGACGAGACAGAGAAGAGGGCTGCCCTTTCAGCAGCAGGCTGCAATTAGATTAGCTTAATCTGAACATGAAAATGTAGGAGAACCTAATGCATTTTACTTTCTAGTTGTGCAGACTAGAGGTAGGGTTTCAGCAGATGTTGGAACAGATCTCTACCACCAAAAAGGGGAGCTCAGCCCCTTCCCTTGTGTCGTTTCTGGCATTTGGTCTTTGACTCTCCCCTCCATGCACCCTGGCCATGTCTGTTTGCTATGCGAATGCTGGATTAATGAGCCGAAGTGGCTCGTGGAGAGGTTGGATAGTGCCAGACCCTGGTGAAGCACCAGGGAGCAGAGTCTGGGTGTACGTTGTCAGCAAGTTAATGGAGCAGCTCAACTATCTCATGAAAACATGGCTTCAGACTGTGCACGCAGTTCAGCTGAGGTGACAGGCAGTAACTTTTAAAGCTGTTTTAACTTAATTGTTTCACTCCGTGTGACCATACTAAGGCAAAAATCATAATTCCCAACAGATCTTTTGTTATATTAAAAACCTATTTTTTATGAGAAGTGTCACTGAAAATTTTAGTGGTCTGCGTTAATACGTCATTTTTATTGCATTAAAATAAATCAGCAGTGGCATAATACTTAGCGTTTGTCAAAACGCAGTAATCTACAGCAGCACTGTAGGCTCAGAATTGGCTCAAAAAAGGATACCTCTAAAAGTGTCTCATTGTGCCATTTCTGTATTCTAGCTTCAAGTGTTTCATTTTCCTGAGATAGCTCCTCCTAAGCAAGGATACTGTTTAGAGAGTGGAAATCTGATTGTTAAGTGGGTCCCAAATAAACATCGCAGATGTCAAAAGCCTGGACTGCAAGCAGTGTCAGAGTGAGTAACGTATACACAGAGGTAACAACTACTCCAGCAGCAGAGTGCAGGAGTATTGTATCCCAGTTCTGCATGCAAGCCAGGAGGGGCTGAGAGCAGAGGCTGAGCATCACAAGTGCAGAGATCAGGTAGCCCCACTATTCACACAAGAGGTGCTAAGGGGCGCCAGCCGCTCTTGCCACCTGTGGGACTAAATAACGCTTGCCCAGGGATTGCTCTACCTCACCACTTGCTGTTGTTTTGGCCCTTCTTCCATTGTATTTATTTTTTTGCCTATCTTGCTCAGCACACCTAATTCAATGCCTGTGTCTCTTTGTGACCTAGCTGTCTAAACCGCCTTCTTGATCAATTGTAGTAGGCCCTAGGACTGCTGCAGAAGAACTGGATGTTAAGATATCCAGACGTCCTCTAATGGTACTGGAATGTCTCACAGTGCAACTCTTTGCTAGTGTAATTGAGGGTTCAGAGTGCATGGGGAAGAATGACGCTGTGAATTTATGTGTTGCTGTAATTAACTGTTGTTCTATTCTGCTTTTATTCAGGTTAAAGCCTGTAAGACAGATAGGTGTTAAAGACCTTGCCTCTGAAAGTCTCAGTGACCTTAAAGAAGTGCAAAGCCAAGGACGAGGCGTTGTCATGGTAAGATTTTGAGATGTTTGTGTAATCTTTCCAGTTTAGCTCTGTGCCCAGCCTGCTGTTATTCTGCAGGCTAGAAATGGCAAAAGTGAAAAAGAAAGAAGAAGAAAGAATATTCTGACCCATTGGTGCTAAAGTCAGTATCTCCTCTCAGCCTTCTGAGAGTGAATTAAACTGTGTGCTGTGTTCCTGGAGAAAGTCCATAAGGTACTCGGCCAGTATCATTTATGGCTCTTTCCACTGTATGGTTATAAAGGGCGGCAGGGGGACGTTCTGCCAGTCTCTGGGAGAAAAGCTTTGCTCAGGAAGTTTCTGCAGTGACCAAGAAGCATTGCCATGCTTTTAAAGGGATCGTTTCCAAGTGAACCGAGGATGAGAAGAGAGATGGGGTTAAAGATGAGGGTAGCTGGAGCTGCAAAGGGAACTCCTCATTTGTCCTTGCTGCAAAAAGCAATATATGGTGGGCATCTGAGTTTTCTGATTTTTAACGTTTATCAAAGAGTAGGCCTATAAATGAGGTGTTATTTGACCCTGAAAGGGACTGATTATGTTGTGTTCGTGACTGGACTACGCGTATGAGTTATTCCATTCTCTTGCCTTTGGGGAAATAATCAGTGTGAGCTGAGGCGTTCTCTTGCTCTTGGATTAAATGGCCAGCTGTCTGATTTCTCAGACATTTTTCTTGGAGAGGTAGCCATTAAGGGGACTTAGGCATTCCAGACTTGATTCATCTTCCTCTTAGCTCTATGTTTTACCATAACTGTTCTCTTCTTCAGAGAAGAACGACATCCAGGAAAGTCCGTTCAGGAGGCCAGCCCGGTCTCGTGCATCCAAAGAGCAGCCAGATACTTAGCTGCCCATCCAAAACAATAAAATCACTTCTAAACTACAAAACCAAAGGGTAAGCCATTTTGTACGAACCCCTCATAGCGATGTGCTCTGCTATTCAAGGGTTTTCAGTCCCTGCCTAATCTGCAATGCTGCAATTGCATCTGCAGTGACTGCAAGAGGTAGTGTATGGTGGGGCAGGTGGTTTGAGTGGCTGCTTTACCGCCATCTGCCCCTCACTGAGTGGGTCAGCTCCTGATTTCTGGAGAGAGGTCTGCTCCTGTGCTACTGGCGCTGACACTGGGGAGAGGATTTATGGGAAAACTTAGATGGTGAGGGCTGTGGGGAGAAATCCTGAAGGCAGAAGTGTACCAAGGTAGAGGGAAACAAAGAAGACTTCTCGTGCTGCTCTTCTGTTCCATCCAAAGATCTGTTTTCTCTTGGGTCCCACCAGCCTAAAAGCTGCCTGACTGACAAGGTAAAAGGGCAAAGGAATTCTACTTGCAAGTGTAAAAAGAGACCCAAAAGTTGCATATGAAGACTGAATCCCCACATGCTCCTATAGACGCTTATTATATAAGACTTTATCTCACTGTTTTTGTCTCACTCTCTTACTGGGTTTGGTGTTACTGACTTCAGCCTTTCCCCTCTTTGGTGCCTTGCTTTTTGAACCAAAGCAAATAAAAAACCTGCTTTGTTTTTAGTTTTGCAGACAAAGATGGGGTACTAAGCCAGTCTTGCCCTGGACAGCTGCAGATTGCAACCGTAGTGGAGCTGCAAGATGAGAGTGGCTTGAAGCTGATGAACAGGCAGCCAGGCTTGTCTCATGCCAAACCAAAATCGTCCCGTCCCTTGTTAGTGCAAAAGGTGACTGCTCCGTATAAGATCTGTGAGGAAGTGAGGGCCTGCCTGTCCTGAGCCGGTACAGAGCAGGGAGCTTCATGTCTTCTGGGTATCCTCTACTGTGCTTCCTGCTCTTGGTGCACTCGACCTTGGGATCTTTTCAATAGACATGACCTTTGGAGCCCCAGGCCTACTCGTGTTGCTGTTTAAGGACATAAAAAGCTATGTTACTGCCTTAACAGTGAAAAACAGCCCTGACTGCATTTAACACTCTGCAATTGCTTTGTCAGTGATGAGCACTCTTTTGTGAAGAATTAGCATGTCGTCTTTGCTGTAATTTTCAAATTTTCTTCTTGTTTGGATGTTGTGAAGAAGCTTCATGAGAAATGGTTTGGCATCTACCCTCTCCATTGTGTGGTACATCAGTAAAACATAGGCAGCAGTAAATCTTCTGGTTCAGAAAGCCTTCCTCACCAATAAATGCTTCATTGGCCACTCCTCCTTAAGGGAGGCCAAAGCTTAAACTGCATTTCCTGGAGCAATCTGTAATCTCTGACCCTAGGGAAGAGATCTACAGAGCTGCCTTCTGTGAGCATCCCTGTTGTTTACTGTGTTTCTGGTGCTATCACAAAGAGCAGAATAAAGGAAGCAGCCAAGCTAGCACCCACACTAGAACTACAGGTGATGACAAGCTGTCAGGTAAGACAGGCTTCTGCTCACACGAATAGTTTCAGTACAAGCTCCTGGACTTTGTGACATGTTCAACCTTGAGCATTAAGAATCATCTGTAATCACAGCTGTGAAAGCACAGCACACCTGTCTAGCAGACAAGGCTCCAAGGACAGATCACTGGATTATTTAAGTGCAAAGGCTGATAGCAAGACATCTGTGTCTGGATCCGAAAAGAATCCATGATTTCTGTGCTGAGAGTTGAGAAGCCATTCCGGAAGGAATTCTAGCCCCCAGCTCCTAAATCCGTGACTGACTTCTACGATCTAACTTCTCTCTTCACTTGGTGCTGGCTTGGGCGTTGTTCTAGCATCAGTATCAGCAACAACATTGATACCAGCATCAACATCACCAGGACTGAGAAGGGGATGCCATTCTCAGAGGAAACTCTTTCCTTCTACAGGGCCACACTTCTCTCTCACCCTCATTGAGAGGGGAATGAATTGTCCATTTTACAGGGAGATGAAGAGCCTAGTCAAACACGAGTTAAGAGGGCATACCTTGTTTTTATGATGTTGCGGTAGATTTCAAGGAGGAAGAACAATTCAAGGATGATATTGGCATAAAATCAAATGATTAAAAGCTCATGCTCAGAAAATTCAGAATGAAAATTAGAGAAGCAAGAAGAGGTGTTACAAACCTTAAGCGATTCTCTAATTAGCAAGAGAGAAACTAATCCCAGCTCTGTTTAGAACTTGAATTTTCCTACTTGTTTCTCTTTTCTGCGTCTCAGTTTTTATGAATAATGTAACTCTATGTCTTGTTAGAATATACTTGTTTGTGTTTTAAGTTGCCTTATTATTTAAACTGCTCTTAGGTACATCCAAATAATGCAGGGCGTCTTGTTTGTTTGAAAACTGTGGATCTGCACAAAGTGTTGCTCATACAGCTCCTTTGGGGAAGTTTCCCTTTCTAAGATACCTTGTCACGTAAAGCGTATCTCTGCCATTTTTGTCTTGGACGTGATTTACATCTGTCAGCTGGTAATTGTGCTCCTGGGCTGATTCCTTTCATCTTTGCACTGTTTTGTTGTGGCACCGGGCTAGATACTCTCTCATGTCATTAGAGGGACCTTGTGCTGTGTGATACCAATTACGAAAACTCTCGTTTGGTTGTCTGTTATCTTGTATTGCAGCGACTGCGGCCTTGATAAATGCAGTCTTGCCATAGTTGCATTAATTCAAAAAGTTGCTAAGATCATGCACCTAGTTTTTCACTTTGATCAGGTTAACTTTTCTTTTTACATCCTTCTACTGGTTCATTCCTTTCTGTGATATCAAACATAGAGAGTTCATATTTGTTTCCAAGCCTGTCCCTTTCAAACTAACAATTTAGTCTTAGAGTATCATCTCAGTACCGAGCTTTGGGGGCTGAATAAGCAGCTTTTGGGAGCTGGGAGGGGAGCAAGGGGTCAGCTGGGCCCATGTGGGGCAGGTGGGAAAAGTACATTATAGTGTACTACAGCTATCAATTAATTTTTTTTTCTTGCTGGCTAGGCTCCAGTAATGGTGAATTTGAAAGAAGAAAGCACACAAAGAATCAGAAACAGTCAGTATCTGAAGAAACCAACTAAAATTAAAATCAGACCAGGTATTAAGATAAAAACTCCAGCTATACCTTTAAGTACTTCTACTCCCTTCTGTACTTTAATGCACTAGGATCTTTGTAAACCTAACTCTGGGGAACACAATTTTTTTTCTCTTGCAAATCCCTTTTGAAATGTATTATTAAAATCTTATGCATAGACACTAAGCTGAAAAGAGCGCTCCCTCTAATGTATCTCTAATGATTTGCAGATTTGCAACCTAAACCTTAAATTTCAGCATTTCCTTTTAATTTTTGAAGGCAGAGGTTACTGTTCTGATTTGTAGCAGCCATATGTCACAAACAGCGTGCTAACATTCGGATGTTTCTGCTAGTGGAAATATCCAGGGAAAGGCTATCTGGGATCCTGGTTCATATATGAAACTTTTAATAATAACTTCTAATAATACTTTTAAAAATATTTCCTTATATGCAGTCAGAACCACTACAGTTTCAGTTTATGACCACTGTCTTTTGTTCTGCTGTGCACCTTCGCAAAATGCCTGGCTCTGCCTTCTCAGTAACTTCTTGTAGGTACCAGAAGGCTGCTGTTAGGTCTCCCCGAAGCTGCCTTTTTTCCGGGCTGAACAAGCCCAGGTCCCTCAGCCGCTTCTCATACGGCCTATGCTCCATGAGCACTTTTAGGCAGGCTAGGCTCAGGAACACAATTTAGTCAGCCAAATCTTAACTCAGCCGGGTGTGTCTCTTCACCTATGTTTCTCTGTCCTCGTGAGGGGAAAATACTGAAAACAGTCTCAGTTGTTACTAGGAGCGGATGTAAATTCATCCAGGAAGCACAAGACTAGATTGCTCCCTTCTTGGCTGAGAGGCTGTGGCAGATGGTGTGTAGATGGTGATCCTACTCTGTGGGTGTTTCCACAGTATTTCCGGCCTGTCAGGTATCTGGTATCTTCCAGCATGACTGTGATTCTTTGTGTCCCTGGTTTAGTCTCTGCGCCTTGACCCTAACTGAACACTTCAAAGTGCTGTGTTAGGGCTGAGACAGCCCATAGTGAGTGGTTTGAATGTGCACGACCCCAGAGGAAGCAACATCAGGGCAGATGTAGATGGGTCCTGTGTGTGTCCCATGAGCACTGTGTGGGTGTGGAGCATGGGACCCTGTATCCAGCCTGAATTCTTCTGGCTAGTAACTGGGTGATGTCAGCTTTTCCCCTGGTCACAGAAGGGCTTTCTGAGCTAAGAGTTCATTTAAGGGATGGTTTTGCAGAAGGGCTGACCTGTTTTCTGTTTTGCACAGACAGCATGCCCTTGTGCCTCTTTTCGAAACTGGAAGAACCTGACTACTCAGGTCTGTTTGCATTGCCTGCTGAGTTTCTGCAGTGCTGCACACACGGATGCCCTGGGCAGCCCTCGGCCCAACTGGGTCTGTCACCCAGAGCAGTAAGTGCTAGATTCAGTCATAACTCGAACTGGAATCTCAGTTTCCTTATCCTGCCTGCCTCTTGCTTTGCTGCTTAAGCAGAGCCCCATAACAGCTCAGGAAGCATAATCCATCTACGTCTTTAACTGGCCAAAGCAGAGGGTTTGCTAAGAGCAGTCACCCACGTATTTCTGTCATGCACATCGTCAGGAGCAACTACGAGAGGAAACGCCACTAGCAGCTCAAATCTCAAACCAGGTGGCTCCCCTCTTTGTACTGCTATCTTTAGTGCATTTTCAGTCTTGGTCCTGAATCCCTGTACTGTATGCTGAGCTACTTAAGAGAGTAACAAAGTAGAAATGGTGAGTGTAGCCTCTTCTTTTCTCTGCAGGGGGTTCTGGTTCAACAATAATGTGTTTTCTGTTCAACAGCAAGCTCAAAAGAGTTCATTCTGTAAGCCTTGAAGGTATAAGAAAACCTGGCACACAAAAGGACCTGAACAGCAATTCCTTCATTTTAGTGTCCTTGAGCACAAGGTCAGGACTAAGGAAAACGCCCGAGCAGATTTTACAACCGGCCTGCGACTCTTCATTTTCTCAGTGTCGCTGGACAGTCACCGCACTGGGCACAAGTCTGAGCTTTCCCACCTTCTCCTAGCAATAAGTAACCAAGGTGGCTTCTTTCTCTGTATTCTCTCTGAGATGCTACTGTCACCATTAACCTGCCTTTTTACATGCTCATAGCTTGGCCAGGTGGAGCTGAACAGACTTTACTATTGATGAATGAATGTGCAGTGAAGGTTACCCTAGGTAAATAAGATCACTGTAGCTGTAGGCTGGACACAGCAATGCAATGAGAAAAGCAAGGCGCTACTGAGGGAAATAGCGTGGCTGATTCTCTTGCTGGCTGCCCAGTGCAAGAGTCCTGCTGTGTCTGCTCCCAACTGCTCACCTACACGGCTCTGTCCCTCTCCGAAAAAGTACAGTTTAATTCTGTGATATCTGCAACATTTGTGCCCCTTTGCAGTTTGCAGAGGCCATGCATCATGGAGGGGAGAGCCCCGTGGAGCTTTGGAGAAAGAGGTCTTCTGGGAAGTCTGCGCCGGGCAAGAGCAGCATGGCAAATCTGGTGCCCCAGGGTGAGTGATGCTGGTGCCACTCTGTATGTGGAGTGTAGTAACCAGGGAGCAAACGAGGGTGTGGGAAAGGCAGGGCAAGCACTTCTCAGCTGGTGCGCTTGGTCTGTCTGGGGGACTGGCGCACTGCTTTTGCTGATTGAGTTGGCTGAGAGATTAATGCTTCCTTGCCTGATAGCTAATCAATCTGTTGTTCACCAAAACATGGTGCAAAAACAGTATTGTGTAAGAAAATCACTCAAAATGCCTACATTTCAAGAATTTGCTGGCCCATGAAAGGACGGTTGTGCTGAGCAGAGGCACAAAAGGAGCAAGTGTGATACTACTGCAAGTTTCAGACTAAATATTTCTAAAGACTTGATATCACCCTGGACATTACTGTGGACAGCCTGAGGACAGGTCAGAGACACTGGGCCAAGTCCAGCAGGCTCACTCCAAACTCCTCCTGAACTTAAGGTTTGTAAATTTTGTCTTGAGGAATAGGGCTTACGTCATGAAATATCAATGACCTAAAGCTGGAGCATCCAGGATAATCATCCAGGCTCCTTGGTAGTTCGTGGAAGGAGCTAGTGTACCCGCTAACTCAGACCTGCCTTTGAGAGCCCAGGGTAGGTGAGAGGAAGCCCATCCATCATGGTTTCAGTCTCACGTTCTGTGCTCTGGGTACATTATCTTGTTCTGTTTGACTGAACACAGTGGCCTGAGGCACTTGAGGGCAATGCCTGTCCCCTGTCACGTCCTCTTCTTTTATCCTCTGGCCAGGTGTTGAAGAGCACAGGCAACCTTTGACAAGAAAAGGGAGCCAAGACTATGTATATTCCAGCGGCGCTGTGAGCCGGGAGGACGGTACATGGGCACTGTGCCACATCCAGGGATTCCAGTCCCCAGGCAGAGCGTTTCCGCTATCCAAAGAGGAATTTGAAGATGACCCTTCCTACAAACTGCCGCCGCCTCCGCCTCCTTCTCCGTGCCTACAGGAGGACTATAATGAGATTTCTTCAGGGGGAAACCCCTGCCTTTGAAGGACACAGCAATCAAGACAGTCTTCTCCATTAACCCTTCATCAAACAATGGCTGAGGGAACCTGTCCTGACACTGGCCTGCTCCTGTCTCAGCTCCTGTCTCGCCTTGTGTTTAGGCCCCTTCCACTGTGTTTCCCTTGCCACAGGGCAGGTGACGGAAGTGGCCCGGCAGTTTCTGCAGTCTGTAAACATTTGGGACAGGTACAAATCTCTGAGTTCTGAAAATTAAAGAAGAGCTTCTCACCCCCTCTCCTGTTTCTGTGCTGCGCGTTGGCTTCCAAAGAGGAGCTAGTCTGTTGAGCAGCTCGAATACGCGCCATGGCCTGGCTGTAGCTGCCTTAATATCCTGTGTCAAGAAAATCGCATTTACCCACCCGCTCCATAGGGCAGACTGGCACAGTAGGCCAGGGCTCAAGCACTGTGCTAGCTCAGGGAATGAGTGGGGCTGAGCAATGACCACTCCAAACAGGAACCTGTGGGAGCAAGCCTTGGCCACTGGTAGTGCTGCGAGAGGAACCGGGCTGCCTCCTGGGCACATGGGAGGTCCCACTGGCAGCACTCCCTGGCCTACAGCACAGAGGTTTGGCAGGCAGGATGCGGGCATGGGGCTCCTGCCCTCCTCCCGGTAGCTGAAGGCAGCAGAGCGAAAGGGGTTTGTCATGGCACTTCCTGGAGTTTTCCAAAGGACAGGGGTGAAATGCATTATTTTGAGCTCTCAAGGCATCCTGGCATCCAGGGAGAGAAAGTGGGTCTGTCATCCCCTGTCCCTGCTTGGCTCTCCAGCGTGCAGGTGAACCCAAGAGCCGTGCTCTTGGCAGATCTCTTGGGGGCACGTTCGTTCCTCCGCTCTGCTGCCCGACTGGTCGCAGACCTGCAGCTGCACCCAGAGCCCTGCCTTAGGGATCCTGCTTTGCGCCTGGATCTCCGCTTTCCTGGGGAGAAGTCTGATCTAAACTTAAAGGCTGGTGTAGCTTCACTATGGAAGTTCTCACCGCTTTTTTAGCAGGGAGGATAGATAGATTTCCAGCTTGAATTTTGTAGAAGCCGTGTCTATCCTCAAGTTTGTCCCCTTGTCTATCTGCTTTCCCTTTTGCTGTTTATAGTTTATGCTCTATCTCTTGGCCTGAAGTGTCCAAACATTTGTTTCTAAAGCATGTTTCTCCCCGGATCATGCCTTCTGTTTTTTCCACCTGCCTTCTGAACTGCTGTGGTGTTTTCCTGGCACCCCAGTTATTAGTGCTCTCAGTCCCTTTATTATCGCTTCCTATTTTATACGATATTCCTTGGCTTTTGCCTGCCAGAATGCTCTCAGCTCTCTCCGCTGCAGAGCAGCATGTCTTCTGATTTCCAGACACCTGTATGTGACCACTCTCCTGGATATAAAATTACCCAGAAGATGTGTCTTAGATTTATTTAAATTATAGCGAATGATTTCGGCAGAGGAGAACAGGCAAACCCCCGACGGGGACCTGGGCTGCCGGCAGCGCTGTCCTGCAGTGGGACCCAGCTCCAGCGGGGGAGGCAGAGGAACGGGCGAAGGCTGCGCTTAGTGCACAGGCCGGGAGCCTCTTTCTCTTGTGACTCTTTTGGCATGTGAGTCCTGAGGCTTTTCCTGGAGATATTGTCAGCGGGGGCCTCCCTCCCATGCGCTGAGAAAGGGGGAAGCACACCTACTTTTGGCATCCCTCGCCTTGTCTGGGGAATCAGCATCCTCAAG